ACGTCCTGAAGGGACACGTTGAAGAATACGCTCCGGCCTTCTTCAATGGTTGGTTGAGCAATTTTGAACTAACAAAAAAGACAAAATTTCGAAACCACTGACAGGGTAGTTCCATGATCATCACTTTGAAGAGACACGGCACAATGAAGAATAAGGAGATATAATAAAAAGCGCTGAAGAAAACTTGGGGTTTTGAGTTAAAGTGTCAGATAACTTATCTCGGTGAAGCATTCCCTCTGGAACTAGAACCAGGTATTGGACTCACCTTCTTTGGGTCTGTCACCTGATCTAACCAACGCCTTTATCCACTGATGCCATCGGAACAATGTAAATTCGAAATAATTACAACCATCTGAAATATAGACAGATATAGAAGAAGGCGTACAACGGTCGAAACGTTGTGAAAATATGGCAACAAAGATGAGGACTATAGTCCGAACAATGTAAATAGTGTAAATAAATACCTCATCTCAGAAATATAGACAGATATAAAAAGGCTGGACAAACTTCGTAATATGCCAATGAAGATGATTGAACAATGTAAATAGTGTAAATTGAAATTTCTCAGAAATATATAAGATATAGAAGAAGGCTCTAAAAAATATAGGCAAACCCTATGACAACAATAGTCGAACAATGTAAATAGTGTAAAAGGATCATCATGTTTAGAAAGCATTGAAAATATTTTTACCTAATTCTATATTTGTATAAATGGTTACAGGAGAGATAAGAATAGTAAATTTAAAGCAAAATTATTTTTATCCCATCAACGTTTTGTCTTTCGTTTGAATTTTCCCTGAATTGTAAACCATGAATATAATCAACGTCCTGAAGGACACGGCGCAATCCGAAAAACGGAATGAGGAAATGAATTTCATTATTCGGCATTTTAAATTTTGAATGTTCCAAGAAATGAATTTTCACCCAGGAGAAATAAACACATTTTTTAATAAAATCAAAATTTCGCTAAAACCTACAAATTTACAAATTCTCCTCCTAGGCAGAATGTGACAGTCGAACAGATTCCTGAAGAGACAAAATTTCCCCGGCACAATTTTGAAGAATAAGGAGACTAATAAGCAGACATAGCCTCGTCAAAACTTCTGGTTTTTTCAAGTTAAAAGGAGATAACTGATCCGGTGAAGGAATGGCACGTGGAACTAGAACCAATTTACCCCGGTGGACAAAAATTACGACTGTTCGGTTCAAAAATTCATTCCGTCACCTGAAGAGGAGAAGAAGAAGATTCCGGAGCGTATAGCAGCCATGTATCTTTCGAACATTCGTAAATATAGGTCAACGCAGATGAGGACCTCGATCTTTCCTGCTATTTATGTAAATTGTGAATACCTTTCCCAATGGTATTAGCAATAAGTTAATGTCAGAAATATAGACAGATATAGAACTCGGCCTCAGATTCCTCAATCCAACGGTATCCACATCCGTGAATATCTAGAATGAAGATGAGGACAACAGTCCCAAGGGTATTACAATGTAAATAGTGTAAAACTATTCCTCAATTCCAATAGCTCATCTCAGAAATATAGACAGATATATTCGAGAAGGTCGAACTCGTAGAACGGTCTAAACTTCGTGAATATGCCAATGAAGATGACCTAAGGAAAACAATCCGAACAATTCGAAATCGGCTCCGTGTTCCTCAATCCATTATCCATTACTCCTCCGGGAAAATCATCTCAGGATTATAGACAAGGGTATATAGAAGAAAGGAATGTAATGGATTCGACTGAATTCGAACTCGGCTCTCCGATTCCTAATCAACGGTCTCCAACGTCATGAATATGGCAACCTTTCCCAAGATGAGAACAATAATCCGAACAATTCGTAAATAGTGCCGCTATCCAGTCATCATCATGTTTACCTTTTCAAGGGTATGTATTAATGTATATTTTTTACGTTTGTATTCTATACTGTGTTGGAAAATAGAAGAATTCATACCTTTTCCCATTTGATGTTGGGATCGACTTTAACTCAAACAAACCTCCTAGCCACTATCCATTACTCTCCGCTTAAAATCAAGAAGATTATTTTATCCCATCAGCGTTTTGTCTTTCGCCTCGACGAATTTTCCCTGTAATTGTAAACTGCTTTAATTTATGTGTGAATATAATCATTTTTCTGTTTTGTAATAAACAGTAGAAAAGACTTACAAATAGCATCCGAAAAACGGAATGTATGATAATGAATTTCATTATTCGGCATTTTAAATTTAATGAATGTTCCACTGAATTCGAACTGAATACCGTATCCATTCACCCAGGAGAAAATCTAGAAACATTCATTTTCCCAAGTCATATTTAAATCGATTTGAAAAACTTTCGATTCCCAATCATTCAAAATATTCATGAAGACTGGCATTTGGATTCGACTAAAATTCTCTCCGATTCCTCAAGGCAGCTATCCATTACCTCCGGACAAATCCGAAGAGGATTTCCCAAAGGCCGCACCTAAGTTTGTAATGGATTCGACGATTTCGAACTCGTCTCCGATTCCTCAATCCGAGCCGCTATCCATTTCTTCCGGGAAACCCTACATTCAAGGGGCACCTAAGTTTTGTTCGACTTTCCCAGACTCGACTCTCCGATTCCTCAATTGACTATCCATTACCTCGGGAAAATCTAGAAGAGGATTCATACCTTTCCCCTGGGTATTAGCCGAAAGTGAATGTAATGGATTCGAATAACTCGCCCGTTCCTCAATCCGAATCCATTACCTTCCGAAAATCTACAAGTGGATTCATACCTTTCCCAAGGGTATTAGATGTGGAATGTAATGGATTCGACTAAATTCGAACTCGGGGCCGATTCCTCAATCCGAGCCGCTATCCATTACTCTTCCGGAAAATCTAGAAGAGGATTCATACCTTTCCCAAGGGTATTAGCACCAAGTGAATGTAATGGATTCGACTGAATTCGAACTCGTGCCACTATCCATTACTCCTCCGGGAAAATCTAGAAGAGGATTCAAAAATTAGCACTGTTTGTAATGGATTCGACTAGAATTCCTCGGCTCTCCGATTCCTCAATCCGAGCCGGGGGATTACTCTTCCGAGAAAATCTAAGAGGATTCATACCTTTCCCAAGGGTATTAGCACCTAAGTGAATGTAATGGATTCGACCAACTCGGCTCTCCGATTCACAATCCGAGCCGCTATCCATTACTCTTCCGGGAAAATCTAGAAGAGGATCACCTTTCCCAAGGGTTAAGTGAATGTAATGGATTCGACTGAATTCGAACTCGGCTCTCCGATTCCTCAATCCTAGCCACTATACATTACTCCTCCGGGAAAATCTAGAAGAAATTCATACCTTTCCCAAGGGTATTAGCACGTAAGTGAATGTAATGGATTCGACTGGAATTCGAACTCAGCTCTCCATTCCTCAATCCTAGCCGCTATCCATTACTCCTCCGGGAAAATCTAGAAGAGGATTCATACCTTTCCCAAGGGTATTAGCACGTAAGTGAATGTAATGGATTCGACTGGAATTCGAACTCGGCTCTCCGATTCCTCAATCCGAGCCACTATCCATTACTCCTCCGGGAAAATCAAGAAGAGGATTCATACCTTTCCCAAGGGTATTAGCACGTAAGTGAATGTAATGGATTCGACTGGAATTCGAACTCGGCTCTCCGATTCCTCAATCTGACCCACTATCCATTACTCCTCCGGGAAAATCTAGAAGAGGATTCATACCTTTCCCAAGGGTATTAGCACGTAAGTAAATGTAATGGATTCGGCTGGAATTCGAACTCGGCTCTCCGATTCCTCAATCAGAGCCGCAATCCATTACTCCTCCGGGAAAATCTAGAAGAGGATTCATACCTTTCCCAAAGGGTATTAGCACGTAAGGAATGTAATGGATTCGGCTGGAATTCGAACTCGGCTCTCCGATTCCTCAATCAGAGCCGCTATCCATTACTCCTCCGGGAAAATCTAGAAGAGGATTCATACCTTTCCCAAAGGTATTAGCACGTAAGTGAATGTAATGGATTCGACTGGAATTCGAACTCGGCTCTCCGATTCCTCAATCCGAGTCACTATCCATTACTCCTCCGGGAAAATCTAGAAGAGGATTCTTACCTTTCCCAAGGGTATTAGCACGTAAGTGAATGTAATGGATTCGGCTGGAATTCGAACTCGGCTCTCCGATTCCTCAATCAGAGCCGCAATCCATTACTCCTCCGGGAAAATCTAGAAGAGGATTCATACCTTTCCCAAGGGTATTAGCACGTAAGTGAATGTAATGGATTCGACTGGAATTCGAACTCGGCTCTCCGATTCCTCAATCCGAGCCACTATCCATTACTCCTCCGGGAAAATCTAGAAGAGGATTCTTACCTTTCCCAAGGGTATTAGCACGTAAGTGAATGTAATGGATTCGACTGGAATTCGAACTCGGCTCTCCGATTCCTCAATCCGAGTCACTATCCATTACTCCTCCGGGAAAATCTAGAAGAGGATTCATACCTTTCCCAAGGGTATTAGCACATAAGTGAATGTAATGGATTCGGCTGGAATTCGAACTCGGCTCTCCGATTCCTCAATCAGAGCCGCAATCCATTACTCCTCCGGGAAAATCTAGAAGAGGATTCATACCTTTCCAAAGGGTATTAGCACGTAAGTGAATGTAATGGATTCGACTGGAATTCGAACTCGGCTCTCCGATTCTTCAATCCAAGCCGCTATCCATTACTCCTCCGGCAAAATCTAGAAGAGGATTCATACATTTCCCAAGGGTATTAGCACGTAAGTGAATGTAATGGATTCGACTGGAATTCGAACTCGGCTCTCCGATTCCACAATCCGAGCCGTTATCCATTAATGCACCGTGACTCCCTTCATTAAATACAGTAATTACTTGTCGGGTATTCTGGGTAGACATGGAAAACTTAAAGGTAACTCAGATATAATTTGGTTTTCTGTTCATCGAATATTTTACTGAATATCGACGATAAAAAAATGGAGGTGAAAAAAAAAAATGGTGTTTTTCTTTTTGTTCGTTTGTATGTTCCTGTCAAGCGCAAAAGAGGCGGTTAAGGAATTGGAAGCCAAATATTTCACCTTCTTCGCTCCTAAGAGTCTGTGAGGTTTGATTTATTTTGTCTGACGAATATCAGGAAGAAAAAAAAAAAACAAACAAAAAAACAAAAAAAAAAAAAACAGAAACAAACAAAAAGCGTTTGGTGATATAAAAAACGGGTAGTAAAATAAATTAAATGCCACCACAAGTAATTCATTGAAAATTTAATTAACTTCCTTGCAAGCACTAACACACACACACACACACACACACACACACACACACACACACACACACACACACACAGGCGTAAGCAGTCTTTCGCTGTTGAACAGAAGAAGACATGTGCAGACGGGCGAAGATCAATAAGTCCATAGCCGTACTCCATTATTAACGGAATTCTAATCCAAGGTTTTCTCAGCATTATGTTCAATCCATGTTACCAAAAGAAATGTACTGGGTTAAGTGCATTGACAAAGAAGACTTAAAAATAAATATTTGTTATGTAAAATAAATGCTTTTTTTTTTCTTAATGAGGTGAGAGACCTAATGTGAAACCTAAGAAGTGTCGTGTTAAATGCATTGGCAAAACTTAATCCATCTTATTATTGTTGCTTTTTATCCCAACATGCTGGGTCAACACACAGCATCTATCTATCTATCTATCTATCTATCTATCTATCTATCTATCTTTGGCTAATCTTTCCTTCCTTCTCTTTTTCTTTATTTCTTTCTATGTTAGCCTATTCTTTTTTATCTATCTATCTATCTATCTATCTATCTATCTATCTATCTATCTATCTATCTATCTATCTATCTGTATCATTCTGCTCATATCTATCTATCTATCTATCTATCTATCTATCTATCTATCTATCTATCTATCTATTCCTTCTCTCTTTCTTTATCCTTCTTTCTATCGATCTATGCCGTCACAATATCCATGTATCTTTCAAGGGAGGTTCATATCTATCTATCTATCTATCTATCTATCTATCTATCTATCTATCTATCTATCTCTTCTCTTTCTCTATCCCTCTTTCTATCGATCTATGCCTACACAATATCCATGTATTTGTTAGGGGAGGTTCACTATCTATCTATCTATCTATCTATCTATCTATCTATCTATCTATCTATCTATCTATCTATCTCAGTCTCTTCCTAATCTATCTATCTATCTATCTATCTATCTATCTATCTATCTATCTCTATCTATTCCTTCTCTCTTTCTTTATCCTTCTTTCTATCGATCTCTGCCTACACAATATCCATGTATTTGTTAAGGGATGTTCATTATCTATCTATCTATCTATCTATCTATCTATCTATCTATCTATCTATTCTTGGCCTGACTATTAAGCGTAAATTCAAAACTATCAGTATGCATGTCAACTTTGTATATATATATATATATATATATATATATATATATATATATATATATATAAACATTGTCTCTTCTGTATTCAGCACTCTTCTTAATAATATCAAGTTTTAAGCACACACACACACACACACACACACACACACACACACACACACACACACACACACACACACACACCACACACAAAAATAACACACATAATAATAATAATAATAATAATAATAATAATAATAAACGTGTTTCGTAAAAAAATACAAAATAAAACAAAAAAAATCTCGGCCAATCAGTACATTGAATGTATAGAAACTGTTCCTAGTGATTACGTCCCAAGCTGATACTTCGCGAGCTCAAGGAGTATATTAGTATATTTTATGTCAGTATTCTATGCTGTGTTGTATAGGAATAGTAGTTATTTGATGTTGGAATGCTTTACAGACACACTTTGCACGTTTTGGCTGGAAGGATGCCATAAGAGTAAAAATGAACTGACCTCCCTTTCCGCTCAGTGACAGAGATCATCGAAATGTCGTCGTTTTTGCTTGAGCTTAATGTTTATATAATTAACTCCCTTGAGGTAAGGGTCCTATCGGACAACATTTCCTGAATAGGGGACAGAAAATGAAGATATAGCTACCCACACACAGGATTATGTGTTATCTATTCTACCGTATGTCTTAGTCTCTTTCTCATGGATCAATCGTCCCAGCGGGACTCTGGTAAAAAAAAATTCTCTTTGACGGACGAGATTTTTAATAACCAATATATTCAGTTGACTCTTTATCACAAGTACAGGAATCTCAGTTTCCACTCATTCTAATGCTGTAAGGAAACCAGATTTATTCCATGAAATATATAAATAAATTTATAAATGCATATATTTGCCTATTCGTTAACGAAGGAAAATAATAGCCAATATTTGTCTATCCATGAAACGAGTCACTGCTTATATAACTCAATTTTAAACGAACCATATTTTTCAAACTCTAAAATAAATAACTGCGTATAGACTCAAATATATATAGATTAATATTTATATACACCGAATCAAGTAAATGTTTTAAATACATACTGTGCGGATATATAATTATATATATATATATATATATATATATATATATATATATATATATATATATATATATATATATATATATATATAGTCTTAAGGTTTGATATATTTATTGGATAAAGTGCTCAATATCAGAGATAGAAGCCAATGTAAATATAAAAGTGAACATAAAGTCAACACTTAATCTTTTACAGTCTGTTTCATGCTATATGCAATGGTGTGGCCTGACGATTGCATATAGCATGAAACAGATTGTCGCCTCTATGTTGATTATGTTCACATTAATATATATATATATATATATATATATATATATATGTGTGTGTGTGTGTATATATTATACATATATATATATATATATATATATATATATATATATATATATATATATATATATATACAATGTTTATATATATAACAATAGTAAATAGTCTAATGTCGGCAGAAAAAGAACTAATAACAAACTTATTCAAATTCTAACTATCGGACACACAATTAGAAGCCCTCAATTTGGGCCAGAAATTTAACACTGGAATAACAAAATATGACACCACAGATTACCGAATTAAAAATCATTACCATAATGACCCCGATTTTACCAAAGGCTATATCCAAGGCCTAAACACAGCTACATACAAAAATAAATAAATAAAATAAAATAAAATGAACGACATTTCACTTCCTCGAAGATACATCAAAGCCCTGAAAGAATTAGCTAACAACAAAAACATCCATATATCTACTTCTGATAAAGGCGGAGGAATTGTAGTCATGCATAAACACATTTATCAACAGTAAATGAGAAAGCTCATTAATGATGATAACATCTATGAAAAAGTAAATGAAAACAAAGCTATAAAACACACACACACACATATAAATATATATATATACATTATTTACATTATTCGGACTATTGTCCTCATTTTTGTCGCCATATTTATCACAACATTTCGGCCATTGTACGCTCCGGCCTTCTTCAGGTGGTTGGAATGTCGAACTGAACCCTTTATTTCGCTCACTGGGGTAGACTGTTCTAGTTCCACGTGTCATGTTTGATGGATGTCAGCTATCAGTTATCTCCTGTTAATTTTCCCTCTGAAAGTTCTCCACTGCCTTAACCGTGTATTGAACTCACACTCTTTGGACTCAAAGAGTGTGAGTTCAATACATAATAAATCATCTCATAATATATATATATATATATATATATATATATATATATATATATATACTAGCAGTAGAGCCCGGCGTTGCCCGGGGATTTAAAAGTAAGCGATAGATCAAGTATCGACCATCATAAAGACTGAAAAATAAAATTGACAAAGATTATTGTTTAAGGTTGACGGACACACATGTCTTAATTAGTTTTTTTTTTTTTTTTTTTTACGAATTGGTCAAACCCAAATTCAAACAAAAACATTGTTTACAATCGTTATGAGTCTATCGATTGGTGAATAGAATTTTATTATAAACAATTGTCTTGTAAATGGAATTTTTAAAGCATTCTGAATGTAAATAAAGAAAAAAAGTGTGCAAGACAATAAAAATACTACCTGCCAAAAAAAAAAAAAAAAATGTTTGTTTTATCGGCTGAAAAATGTAAGAAATCCGATCCCATATATAAAGAAACACACACACACACACACACACACACACACACACACACACACACACACACACACACACACAACTGGGTTTTTAACCTAAGTCACTCCACGGAATCGCTAAAACATAGAGCATAGTCTGATGAAAAAGACGCCAAAGTTTATGAAAACAAAATTTTATCGTCAAAATGCTTATGTTTTTAGGAAGAGGATAGACTAAATTTTTTTTAATTATTTTAAAAAATTTTTCCATCTTTTAGAATATTCTAAATTTTGATTTAAAAAACCTTGTTTCTCTTTGTCGCAACAAGGGGTAGTAAATAACATAGATAATTTTTAGCGCGTTTTTTGTATTTACACATTAATTTTGGAAAATCTTGCAAAAATAAAAATAATTGTCAGATGTTAATGAAACTTTCAGAAACTATTCACAGATGATCAAAATTATTATAAATATGTTTTTTTTTTTTAAAAGTCATGGCAGAAATATTTTTTTTATATTTATTAACACCCCCATAACTAATTTTATGAAAAACTCTAGAAATTCGAGGCCATCGGTTTTAGTGATTACAATAGTTAAAAGCACAAGGCTTTGAAGAATGCAAATCATGTTTTTTTTTTTTTTTTTTTGGCCAACGTACCTGAAAATCAGCTGTGAATTGTAACATAAAAAACTCAATAAAACAAATATATTATTTAGTTTCAAATGCTTTTATTTGTTTTAATTTGTTTTTATGAATATGGACAATATTTTCTGAAAGCAAAAAAAAATTTTTTCAATAAAATTGAATTTTTAATACAATTATTTCTTATTTCTTTAATTTTAAAAAGATTTTTAAAAAATTTTTAAATTGAATTTTAAAAATATTTTAACATTAGTTAAAAAAAAACATCAACCTTTCAAAATGTCCGTGTGAGATTGTCATTGTTTAGCACTTTGAAAATTGTATAATTTGGACCAATCAGATTAGCCATGGTAATTAAGAAATGTAATTTTTTGTTTATAGTCGGACAGTAATTATCAAGTACGGAAGACCAACCAGAATACAATTTAGTTGGATTATTTGAGTTCAGCATTGTTCTCCGCTGTTAAGCCCTTTACTTTTGCGAAACACCTATGGAGAAGTTAATTTGAGTTTTCAATTTCAACTGAGAAGGGTACCTACAAGTAACAGTATCATCTTATGAAATTTAACTACTGCTAAACTTTAATTTATATGATCTTATTTTTATATTAATCTCAGTTATGACATTTTTCCATAAATGAAATATCAAAATTAATAATAAAATGAATGGAAATACAAATAACACAGTAAAATGTAATAAATGTACATAAAATTATAGTATTTTATGTACACTTCATTAAAATTTCATAAGAAAGGTACCTAAATTAATTAGATACCTTTTTCTTATGAAATTTAATCTCACTATTAACAGTCTTATTTTTTAATTTCTTTATATTTTCCATAAAGCATCGTAAACGTAAAAATAAAGCTAAGTAAAAAAAAAAAAAAAAAAAAAAAAAAAAAAAATTAGAGCGCTTTAAAGTTTTCCTTAAAAGTAACAAGGTAAATAATTTGTTCACTTAAATAATTTCACTTCCTTCCATCCGTAGAAAGAATTATCCTCCCGTAAGTTATCTAAACGTCATGAATGTGCCTTTCGTCAATCGTCAAGCGACGCGAAAGGTTATGACCTGCTTTGTTTTATTTTCAAATTACATTTTTTCGGCGCAGAAGCTAAGTTAAGCTTGGTTCAAAATATTTTAAATAAACAATATAATTTCTGTTTTTATTAAAATCAGTTTTGAAAAAATGATAATTGATTTTTAAAAGAATATCAAAGTCAGATTTTTAATCTTTTTTATCAAATCGAAAAAAATGATTGAAAATGATTGATTATCTGTCCTTTTTTTGACCAAAAAAAAAAAACAATATTTTTAACGAAAATTTCAGACGTGCTAGGAACGATTAAAAAATGTAAAAAAATACCCCCAAAATACTTTGATCTTTCCTCTTTAATAATAATATGAACATTAGACGATAAAATTTTGTTTTCGTCAAGTTCGGCTTTTTTTTCATCATGCTATGCTCTTTTGTTTACATTTTCGTGGGTGAGTTGTCCCCCTTTCATTCTCACGATGTGTCTTAATCGTGTTTTCAAATTGATTTTATTAAAAAACAACTGTGTTTTTCCCATTTTCGGCGCCGTTAGAACCACCACAAGGTAATTTTATGTAGTCCTGTGAAGTTTTGTTGAAATCGGCTAAAAAATGTAAGAAATTCGATCCAATATG